TGTGATAAAAATAATTAGTCAAATAGGTCTACACAAAATCAAGGCCCGCTTGGATATAAAGATAAAAAACCTATATTATATATCTCTCTCATTCTTAGAAATAGATACCCTTAACTTTATAACGTTGGAAAGGGTTAAATTCCAAATGGTAAAAAAATCAAAAAGACCACGTATCTCGGTTGGCAGTGAAAATATCAACAGGCGGTTTACGCCATTATACGTTTCTCAGAAATCGACATCTATGTCGGTTTTGCTATATCTAGTGAGGAAATAGGTTTTCTCTGTTAAAACAGACCAATTTCGACCACCCTGTACTTATAAAAAAGCTAAATACACAAATAACAAGTATATGCTAGGTGCTGGTTGCTTATGCTTTCTGCAGGGCAGATGATTGCAAGAAGAATAAGAGTTTGATTAGATTATTTGCGATATTTATAGACTGATTCGTTTTTCTAACCCTTAGCCGTTTAATATACATATATTAAGATATTTAACACCAACATCATATCTTAAAATCATCCATTCCTCTTTAGTCATACAGATCATCGAAAATAAAATACCTATATTGGTCCTCTATTTCTGTTTGTCAAACTGCAGATTGACTCAAACATTTTTCCACTGACGATTTTTGCTGCCTACCAAAATATTGTTCATTCCATTCAATTTTACACTAAATTACATCTGACCTTCCTATTTAATCCCCTTTAATTATCCTACCGTGTAATAGGCACATAATTACAGAGGGTATTACTCTGAATACTAATTAACATAAATAAAGCTTTAATTAAAAGCTTTCCTTCTTCCTAATTAATCTCGCGATTTAAAAAAATAAAATCTTCGCTGTTCATTATACAATTTTATATTAAAATTTTCTGATTCTTTCACCGGGGTTTAATTACGGAGAAAAAAGGAATTTGCTCTTTATTTGTATTCTCATCTTAAAGACCGTATCTCACTTTAAAACTTTATTAAAGGAGGACTTCGCACTAGGATTCTTTAATATCTGACGATCTATAATTGTTTTAGCGCTTCTCTCTAAGATTGTCGGCTATTTCAATTTTCCATGGTGGAATGTTTAATATGCATTAGTCTTTGGAATTAATCCCAGTCGAGTTAGGTGCAATAAATCTTTAGTTTTGGAGCTTTAATAACTTTCTGTTTAGTTGAAGAATTTATTGTTTGAATTTAGGGAGTCCTAGATCACGTCATTTGAATTTTAACAAAATCCTTATTTTTTGATAATAAAATAATTGAAGATTTAGATTGTATGGGAGGGTGGGGAGCACAGCACCCTACCTTACTGTAGGGTTGCCAACTTTCAAAAGAATAAATATAGGACGAGGAGTTAAGAAAAGACCACAGGCGAAACATTTTTTGTAACTTCGCCCAAAGGTTATCAATAATTTTCCTGAATACTGTGTAAACCTTATACCGGAGTCCCAAAAGTCGCTCAACTCCTATAATTTTTCTGTTTTTTTAGATAAAAAAACGAGATTTAGTATGTGAGTATATGATATAAATTAGGATTGATAACTTTTGACATTTTTGCATATGGTTTGAAATTGTAGCATGCGGCTCATAACGACAATTTGACTCGAAATACCATGTGTGTGTTATTAAAAAATTATACGTACAAAAAATGCTTTTTCCAAATATTCTAATCAGACACCCTTGTTCTATTTGAAAACATTGATATATTATTAAAAAACGATTTGGCATCGTTTAACAGGCCAGGACAAGACACGAAAAACATTAGATGATCAAATATAATTTTCCAAGGCTCCTTGATTAAAAGTTAGTGTTTTTAACACAGACACGGCACTCCAGATTAAAATTTAAAAAACGATTTTTTTTGTAAGCGAAAATGTCAAAAGTTGGCATATGATATGTGATTCTATTCAGAGTGTCATTTTCTATCGAATAAAGTAAAAAATATACCTAGGGTGCCATTTAAAAATCAAAAGTTGTAGTCATTTCCGGTGAAACAGGAAGTGACCAAAAACAACTGAATACGTCAATCAATCCTAATTTATGTCATATACTAACATACCAAATCTGTTTTTTTTTCTTAAAAAAATAAAAAGTTATAGAAGTCAGCCACTTTAGAAACGTATCCTGTATAGTTGATGGTCGTTTATTTTGGATGGATATCTTTTTTAAAAATTTGTATTCAAAACTTGTTAAAATAGAAAAAACGATTTTCTACTAAACGATTTCAAATCATAAGGTAACAGTAATCAATAAAGCCAAATATGAATCACTTCCACGAAACTTGTACAGGGTATCCCACTAAGAATAGCTCTCGGCTGCATCTCGGAAAGTATTAGCCGTAGGGGCTGCGGAAAAAAAATATTTATAACTAAAGAGGCTATGAGAAATTGCTGGAAATTATTTTCAAGTTTTTAGAACAACCGCTATAGCGGGCGCAACTGCAACAGAAAATAAGAAAATGGAGTTTTTACACAATTTTGCCTAGATAAGTTCTGGTGTACTATAAGTGTTAGCTTCATAATCTTCAGTAAATTTTGAATATATTTTGTTAGAGCCATTTTCCCCTATCTATCAAAATAAAGTGGTGGGGAAGGTTAAATCTGTTTTTATTTAAATATTAATAACTCTGGACTGGATGATCGAAATCCAACAAGCGAGGGCTCGTTTTAAAGAGCGTTTCTTACTCTATATTTTACTGTATAAACAATAACAATAAGCTTTTGAACGTAGACGCTAGGGGGCGTTGTCTTACAATTTAAAAAATATTGCGCGTTTTTCAAAAAAAAAATAAATACAATAGTATATGTAATTTTAGTTGATAGTAAAGAGTAGTAAAAGCTTAAAAAGTCAGCGAAAACCGCATCTTGATATCTTCTTTCAAACCGAAGATATTAGCAAAATTATAATAAATACCAAAAAGATGTTATTAACAGTGAACAAGAAACGATGATTCAGTGAAGTCATGGTAGGCTTTGGAAAAAAGTTGCTTTTGACGTAATAGTATAAACCTCAAATTGTTATTAGATCAACATTTTGATAGTCTTAGCAGCGTTTTTTTTTATCTTTTGATTGCTTTTTCGAAATGCCTTTATTTTTGGAAGTAGTTGAAGTTGTTGGCATTTTGAAAAAGCAATCAAAAGATAAAAAAACGCTGCTAAGACTATCAAATTGTTGATTTAATAACAATTTGAGGTTTATACTATTACGCCAAAAGCAACTTTTTTCCAAAGCCTACCATGACTTCACTGAATTATCGTTTCTTGTTCACTGTTATTAATATCTAAACCAACTGTTTCTATCTTATTTTTTGTTAGAATGGGCATAATCAAGAGGGCTACTGATACCGTGCTGTAAAAATAAGGTAATTAAGGGCTTATTTTTTGGTATTTAATATAATTTTACTAATATTTTTTTACCAATATCTTCAGTTTGAAAGAAGATATCAAGATGCGGTTTTCGCTGACTTTTTAAGCTTTTACTACTCTTTAATATCAATTAATATTACATATACTATTGTATTTTTTTTTTTTTGAAAAACGCGCAATGTTTTTTAAATTGTAAGACAACGCCCCCTAGCGTCTACGTTCAAAAGCTTATTATTATTGTTTATATGGTAAAATATAGAGTAAGAAACGCTCTTTTAAACGAGCCCTCGCTTGTTGGATTTCGATCATCCAGTCCAGAGTTATTAATATTTAAACAAAAACAGATTTAACCTTCCCCCACCACGTTATTTTGGTAGATAGGGAAAATGGCTCTAACAAAATATAATCAAAATTTACTGAAGATTATGAAGCTATTACTTATAGTACACCTTATCTAGGCAAAATTGTGAAAAACTCCATTTTCTCATTTTTTGTTGCAATTGCGCCCCCTAGCGGTCGTTCAACAAACTTGAAAATAATTTCCAGCAATTTCTCATAGCCTCTTTAGTTACAAATATTTTTTTCTGCAGCCCCTAGGGCAATACTTTCCGAGATACAGCCGAGAGCTATTCTTAGTGGGACACCCTGTACATAAATATTTCTCTTCTGTATAAACGAGGGGAAATTGCAAAAACAGTATTGCTAAATTAACAATTTTATAAGAATTTTGGCGATAGACGAACATATTTATAGATTTAGTTTAGGGTATAAAAGAGAGGATTTTTTCAATCCGCGTGAGAAAAAAGGACTGTCCTCTAGAATAGAGGATGGTTGGCAACCTATAAGCATATAGGTCTATGGTGTCCTCTATTCTTGAGTAATAATTCATGATTCAGCTTCAGGGCTTTGACAAAAGCCAGCATCTGAGACAGTGGTTAGGTTTCCATCTCCGAAATCAGTCGTACTACAGTTTATGGCACGAATTGTTGTCGTCACAACGCACTCAGTGATGAGGTCCTAGTGTTTCCGTATTTTCCCACCAGAATCTGCCTTTGCCATTGTTTGTTAGCTTCAATCTACTGATATGATCATTGAAGAAACATGGTTAAAAGCCCTTGAAAATCCCATGATTCTTCTTGCTGAAATCAAAGGAACTCTTATAATTTTCTCGGTCGTAAGTCCTGAGTAGTTTTTTCGAATATCCTAGACCTGCAGAGGATTTCCATTCTTTTTTCAATTAAGTTGATTTCCACTTGGAAAGCAGAACGGTTGTGGTCCAGTTTTCGGAATGTTCATTCGTTATCTAGCTAGATCGTTTGATTTTTCATTACCTTCAATCTCTTGGCGGGCAGGTACCCAGAGTAGGAGGACTTTGTTTTCTTTACATAATTTGTTCAACTATCGTGTAAGATGGCTGTTTTTTGTTTCCGATAGTCCCTTTCTAAGATAAGTTATACGAATCTTTCTTTTAAATAAAATAAACCTTTGTCTTGTATAACAAAAATATTTTTTGGCGTAACATTATTATTGTTATACTATAATTATAACACTGTCTTAAGATAAATTAAATGATGATTCCAGTAAGCAACACGCCTGCTAAATTAGTGAAACAGATTGCTTATTTCTTCTTCTCTTAATTTGCAGGAGTCACGAAAGGACTGCGGACGATCTGGAAACCATTTACGAAGAGCTACTACACATAAGGGCGCTGTCTCATCTGTCAAATTCGGTGAAAAGAGAAATAGCCAGCGTCATCGTTTTCGAGGCCCACCCCAAAGCCGGAACAGTGTGTAAGAACGAGTTTATTTTTTGCTTGTTCGAAAATATTTTGGTTCGTGTGATTATCCATCAAATTTGCAGGAAAAGCACGAACGAAAATATATTATATTTATTTTCTTATAGCGAGAGTTGGGGGTTAAAAATAATTTATTACTCTAGTAGTTTGGTAGAAGTTTGGTTATTAATAAATTCAGATGGACATATTAATAATTACTAGTATCAATCAGTATTCAATATGAAAAATTGCTATACTTATGTTCTGAAGAATTGTTTGATCAAAATTAGTACAATATTTTGCTCGGTAATGTGGCAACCACATGCTTGCGAGTCAAAAGTTATGTTTTACAGAAAATATCGTCATACAACATAGCACTTAAATATATTAAATGTTTTAATATTTTTTTAGATTTAGATTGTCCCTGAGTAAGCGGTTATATATTTGTATATTAGGGTGTCCGTTATTTCCTAAGTTCATTATTTTTTTGCTGCTGCCCTTTGAAATTTTAGTTTTTGTTCTAAAAAAATATCCAACGTAAATAGGCCCTTAACCCTGCGGACGGGGCGCCCTTGTGTAGCTCATGAGCCGGGGCGCCGGGTCTCTGAGACCCATCGTCAAATATCGCGTTTTTTGGAAAAAAAATTAAAACACTATATTTTAATTGAAAAAATATACCTAAGTTTATTCAAATATTATAATAGGAACATGATTTAAATATACATAGACAAATTTTATCTTGTTCTAAAATTTGTTGTCAAAAAATATACCATTTTCTAAAAACTAGGAAACAACTGGTAAATAGGTAAACAAAATAAGATTTTCTAGTGAATCATTATAAAAATATTATAGAACAATAGTTTTTATTGATTTATGGCAATTTCTGATCACTCAGCCACCAAGCTTCCATGTGAGAGAGACAAACAAATTTTTTACATTTTTTGCAAAAATATTTGGTTTTTGAATCCTTTTTGCAAAAAAGCATCTTCTTCTGGTACCTGGTTGGATTTCTTCATTTTTCATATTTTCTTGTGTTCCAGCGACTTCTTGTCTTCTTTCTTTCACCGACCTTGGCACATTTGTTTCATAGTGCGGGCGTTCCTCTTCTCTCTCTCGCATAATTTTTCGCTAATCCAGAAATATAGTGATTTGTGTTCTCCCCTATAATGTTGAGCATTTCAGTAGTAAAAAATAACGACCAACATTCATCGGGTGTTTTGGCGTTTTTCCCACAGTTTCTGACGCCTGGTAATCGCACAATAATATTTTCCCTTCTCGTTCTTACTGTTTTGTTTGGGCAATGTTTATGCCACCGCGTTGTGCCATCTTTTCCAATGAAAGTTGGAATTCTTGCTAATTTTGCAAGGGGTACATCGTCGTCACTGCTATCAGAACACTCTTGTTCGGATTCGCTATCAGTGCTTCGAGTTTCAACATGATTTTCCTGAAACACCAACTCCTCTTCTTCATCATACGGCTCTTCCTCTGATGCAACTTCCTCCCATAAACGACAAAGTTTTTCTTGCTCTTCTTCATAATAATTAGACATTGCTGCTAAATAAAACAAATCCTATTTATAAAATTTATACAATATAAGTGACATTTACCCTAACTTACCAAAGAAAAATATATCCAGCCAGTTGTAGAAAAAATACACTGAGCCGGGGCGCCGGGTCTCACAGACCAAAATAAAAATAATTCAGAAACTAAAATACTTGGTCATCCACGAATTACTGTGCACGTACTGAGTCTAAGGATAAACAGGTAGATAGATCGCCAGGCAATTACGACGATTTTCCGAAAATTGCGGATAGGTTTTCGGAGCGCCGGGTCTCAGAGACTAGGCGCCCCGGGCGGAAGGTTAATTTTTCATTTAGACCGTGCCGGAATCATGATACTTTTCCTATTTAAATAACATGGGATTTTCTGACCTTTAATTTTTTATCTCCAAAGAAAATGAACCTACAGCTTCGACGAAGACACATTCTAATACAAAATTTTACGCTCTATAAAAAAGTTATCTTTGGTTTTTTCCATAAAAGCATTCCTTTAAAAGTTATTCGCGGTCAAATTTATGTACATAGTTTATAATCAAATTTTTCTGTCATTCACTGCAAACTCTTTCATTTTTTTTAATTAAATTAATTTAATTAATTCGATAGAAGTGATATTTAAGATAAAAACCACTTGAAATTTGTTCATTCTGTTCAATTGACACACATATTTACGAACACTGAAAGGCAATGAAACAATAACCCTAAATTATAGTTTTGATCAATAATCTTGATCATCTTCTTACAGTGCCATACTCTATATAGAGTTTCGGCTACCTCTCGCATGTACTTGTGATGTGTGTCATCAGTGTTTCACAAGTACACGGGACCTACAGTTTATTACCGAATCCGAACGGCACTATTTGAGAGGCTGTACAAGGCAAATATACTCAAGGTGGTTTGCTAATGCCTTTCTTGAGGTGGCGGCTCGTTGGTCGCTCTATTTAGATAAATAAATATTTTTATTTAAATAAATAAAGCGACCGTACTGGCTGGGAATCGAACCTAGTACCTTCCGCTCCGCAGATCGACACACTAACGCTGGAGCTACGGCCGGCCACTAATCTTGATCATACCACAAACTAACTGTAACTTAGTCTGTGATCATACTTAGATGGCGCAATATTAGTTTTCCATATTAAAGTTGGTAAAAAAATATTGTTTTATTGAAAAAAGTATGGCTCTAGATCCTTTTTTGGTCAAAATCAAAAGGCGCAAATAGAATTTGCAGTGAATGATAGAACAATTTGATATAAACTATGTGCATAACTTTGACCGCGAATAACCTTTAAAGGAATGTTTTCATGGAAAAAAACCAAAGAGATCTTTTTTGTAGAGCGTAAAATGTTGTATCAGAACATGTCTTTGTCGAAGCTGTAGGTTTATTTGCTTTAGAGATAAAAAATTAAATACAAAAAGTCAGAAAATCCCATGTTATTTAAATGGCAAAAGTATCATTATTCCGGCACGGTTTAAATGAAAAATTTAGACCTTCTTTACGTTGGATATTTTTTTTAGAGCAAAAACTAAAATTTCAGAGGGCGCACGGTGGGGTATTAGCATGAAAAAGGTGATCGAAATTCGAAAAAGCGTTTAAGATTTCCCAAAAAAAGATAAATGATAAGTTAAATCATGTCTGCCATGAATGGCGTTGCTATAAGTGGGTTTAGTTGCATTCATTTGTTTCAACGAAACGTCAAAGTTTTTACTTCTAACAGATAAGAGGTAAATGGCTAAATTTTATGTTTAAAATTATAAATTGTTGTCGTTCTTGTGCTCTTTTTAAAATGGCTCAGCAAGCTGCAGGTATGTATTCTACAAAAAACTATTATTTATTTTGATATTCTCTATACTAACGATTTTTTTTGCCACTAAAAGTTAGGCGTTCAGAAAATTTGATTAAATTTGTGATATTTTTATTATACTTAGAGATTTAGTTGGGCATTTCGAAGAATTCAGCATATTGTCTATATACGTTTTACTTAGTAAACATTGGGCTTTCATACAGTAAAATAAAATACTGCGACTCTTTGCTGATAAACGGAGAAAAACATTCTTGATTTCCTCTAATATGCCAGTAAGTGATATACTAATGTGAGGTGTAAACCGCGATGGCATTGTTGTGTACAAAGCGATCGCATTAGTTCCATTAGCAGTATAGCACAATTTGGCATTAGTAGCGACTTTAGTGGTATGGGCATTGCTCGCGGATCAGTCGTAGTATAAGTACTATTAGTTGCGATATTGCTACTGGCATTAGTGGCATTGACCGTGGAAACACTGGAGCAGTGATTTTTCTTTCTTTTTTTAGAATCGACGAATTATCCTTTTTTTTGTTCATATTATTTCCTCTTTAATTGAAAATAGCAATAATTTATATAAGGTCTACATAAAAAAAATTCGATCAACTATCTGTGTCCCACTGTGGGGCGGCAGCAAAAATAAAATCAACTTGGGAAATAACGGACACACTATTGTATATTGTTATTACGCCTATACAATAGTAAATATACCAATTATACTACTGATAATGTCAAATATTAAGGGATAAATATATATATATATAATAATAATATATATATATATATATATATATATATATATATATATATATATATATATATATATATATATATATATATATATATATAATAATTAATATTAAGGGATAAAACTTGACTAAGCCTATAACATGGGTATGATGACTGTACAAGCGCCTATAATATGGGTATGAGATGTGACTCATATCGCCAAAAATTATGAAAATTAATTATAGTAAATCTTACACATTTTGGCATATAAAATTTAGACATTATTTTTAAACCAAGAATACGATCGAAAAAAGGGCATAGTCAAAGACGGCTGGAGAATGACAATCGATGATAATTTTCGCGAGATTGAGAAGTCGGAGACGTCATGACTTGGCCAGTACTCTGCTTTATTTTTTAATGGCGCTTACTGCCAGTTACTCTTAAGAAAGTTGTAATTTATTTTTATATTAAGTAAAAATTATGTTTAAATGGGGTAATTTAAAATACGAGAAAAACTAATTTTTTGGAAATAGATTTGTGTATTTGGAAACGTTTTGTCCTTTTTTTTTAATCTTTTTATAATTACTGTTATTTTTTAAGCTAGTTTTAAGCCAATTTTTGGTAAATGTCACCTAGAGATTAACCTCAACTTAAGAAAATTATTATCGATTGTTATTCCACAGCCGTTTTTGACGCTGTTTTTTCGATCACATGGTATTATACATAGATCGGTTTAGGTATCTAAAAGAGTTTCTAACAAATAGTTTCTAAATAAGATGTAACGCTAAAGCCAGTTATAATTGACAAAATGACAAACGTGTTAGTTGCAAATAAATATAATTTTATTACAATTTGAAAGTTATATTATATTTATTCATCAATATTGTCAATGATTTTTATAATGTTTATTAAAAATCTCTTAATATATTTTTAATTTAATTACCGATTTAGTAACTAAAACCCACCATAAGCATTTTAATAAGCTTTGTTAAAAATAAAAAAACCATGGGTAAAAAACAAAACCGTAACAATATATTTTTTTTAATTAGAAAAAATAACGCAACGTCAATTAAAAATTAAATACTTCCAACTGCCAACTCAATTTTTAATTATTTCCTGGTTATTTTTGGGCTCGCAAATATTAAATAAAATTCTCCTGAAATATTTAAATTTCATGAAAAATTAATATCTCCCAATTAAAAGCGCAATTTTCCTGATTATGAATTTTTAAACCGGAAAACTTTTTTACAACTTTTCACTTTAATTTATTCTAGCAATTTTAATATTTGACACGCATATAATAAAGTATCTTGAAATTGAAATATTTGAAGGCGATAGGGACTTTGTATAGAATTTACAATTAAAGAATAAATACTATTTGTGATCAGTTGCAATCATCGCACTAAAACATTTTTAATATTTTTGAGTGTAAATAGTAATTATAGGTTTCTTGTTTTTCACCCGATTTGTAAAACTCCGACAACAGCGCTTGGTACGACAGAAAAAAGAACTACCATCCCATACATAAAAAATTGACGCCGGGAGGCACGTATAGCCGCCCATACTAAAATATGTTAATAAAAAGTTGGTAGGCAGTTCTTTTAGTTTCAAGAATTTTTCCAATTTTTCAATCTCAAAAACTGCGATTTTGACTGATTTTGATGTTATTACAAATTTTGTTGCAAATATTATTCCTAATCTTAAATTGAAAACCGCGTTTCGCTAGCTACTGTAATTTTGGAGTTACGATTTTTTAAATTTTTAACCCCCTCCCATACTCCCTTACCAACCCCCCACCACCACCCAAAATTAATGACCAGATTCTCGGGTGCCACAGTATTTTTGTGCCAAATTTGGTTAAAATCGGTTTAGCGGTTTTTGAGTTATCGTGTTACAGACAGACGGACAGACAGACACCATGAAAATATTTTGTATTTAGGTCATTTATGACCCAAATAACTCATTTTGAGTGAAATTAAAAAAAAATTGCCGATCTACCATATCTGTTGGTATGGTCGGCTAATAAGCATATAATATGAAGATGAAATATGTTAATCAAATTTAATGGTATAATTCTCTTTATTTTTTTATGGACGTCGCGTCGTATAAAATTATAATTAAGTACCTATAATAAACTTTGTTACGGTCCAGATAGCCCCAGTTATGTAACAACTAGCAAAACCGGTGTGTATAACTATGCTATCGTAGTTGAAGCCACAGGCGTGTTATTACTCATCAAAAAGTTTTATTAGCTTGAATAATAAATTATAATATACGCTAGACCTTTTGAAGATTTTTATATTTTGTAAAATTTTCATAAATTGCACTTACTAATAATATTTAAATAATTATAACAACTTTTTCATGTACTTCCTGGTGCATTTGTATGTGGCGATTATTTACGGGATTCTCCGATGGTGCCAGCACCGGTAGAGAATGCACCAAGTCTATAATAATAAGCGGTTTTTAAACACTAGTTATACAGGATTAGTCTTAGATAAGTGCAAATATATTTAGAGGTGGTATATTTCGACCTATTAGGTCTAACACATCTATTAGGTTTCTTTCGCAGAAAAATATTTTGAAAATAGTACATTTTTTTAAATTTTCTCATATATTTTAGAAAACTTTTTAGAACTACCTGTTCACCGCAATTTTTCCCAGGTTATAATATCTTAATCATGGTCGTCTTAACCATATAGTCTAAGAGTTACCAGAATTATTTGATACTTTACTATCAGAATATAAATGAAAATAAAATAAAAAAAACTTTACCCCGAGCCGATATTGAACTCGGGATTTCTCGCTTTATAGGCGGAACGTTTTCGGCGCCGCGCTATGGAGACGATTTGTTCAATTTATATTCAATACTAGAATTTTGAAAGACTAAATATAAATATACGAACTTCTTTCAATGCGCAGTAGTGAACGCAACGTCTATCGAGAGCCAGACGACTCGCACGCTGTTCCAGAGAGCATAGCAAAAGATATATTAAAGAGCTAGCTTTCTTCTACTAATAGTTACGGCATTAAAGTTGCGTATTCACTATCCGAACGAACATTCGTTGGTTCGTTCGGTAGTAGTATGGACGGGACCGAATTTTAGAACCGAACAAACAACATCTACCCATTCGTTTTTGAACTCCTTTGATGTACCGACTCGAAACGGATGGTCGAGCAAACGAACGAACGAACGGCCGCATGCGTTCGGTTCCCCGTCCAAATATACCGAATTCCATTCGTTCGCTCGTTCGCTCGTTCGTTCGTTCGTTTGTTCGGATAGTGAATACGCACCTTAAAAGGGATGCAAATACAGAAAAAATCCAGTGGCTTTCAATTTTTTTTTAAATATATGGATTTTTTTTTAATTTGCAAACTCGGTTATTTTGGACTTATTTGAAAAACGATAAAGAGAAAATAATATGTTCCTGTTATCGAGATCTACCAGGCCTGAAAACCTTTGCACTTATTTAAGACCCTGTTTAATTATTTTGATTACCTTTATTTGTACATGTTTTATATCTGTCACTGTAAATGTCCGAAATGCGGTAAAACCTAGGATAAACGCGCTAAACCTAGGATTTACCAAAAGCAAGTGGAAAAAGCTCGAAAACTTCTTTATTTTGCTTCCATTTCGGACTTTTACCGGACCCAAACAGTAAATCTTAAGATTTACCATACCGCATTGGTAAAAGTATGAATTATTTTTTTATAGCAACAATATCGACAAATTAAGGATGTCGATATACAAAGACATCTCTGTTTTTGTTTACTTAGGCATTGAAACTTTAACGATTATCGTTTCACGATATCGATTTTTGTAACGTATCAGTCTTATATTTGTTACTGTAAGTGTCCGAAATGCGGTAAAACCTAGGATAAGCGCGCTAAACCTAGGATTTACCAAAAGCATTAACTAATTAGGTTAGCCTGGTTATTTGGAGGGTGATAATGCATTGGTTAGCATGGTTATTTGCGGGGTGTTAATGCATTGGTTAGATGGTCATTTGGAGGGTGTTAATGCATTAGTTAGCCTGGCGCGCTATTTTGTACAATCGTCGGTATCGGTAAGTTACCGAAAGTTATCAGTACGTACGGCCAATGAGCGTTGTGTTAATTGTTGTTGTCATAGTTGCAGCTGTTATTAATAGGACATAATATAGCAAACTTGTACCGACGACTATCGGTGTCTCTACAGTGGGGTTAACAAGGACACGGTAGAGATACCGATTCTCGTCGGTACAAATTTGTGATATCTGTCATAGAACCGATCGATAACTATGACAACAACAATTAACACATTTTTACTATATACAAATACGTATCGAGAGCTGTCGTAACCGATACCGACTATTTTACAGAATAGCGCTTGTGGTTATTTGGGGGGGGGGTGTTAATGCATTGATTAGCCTGGTTAATTAGGGGGGTGTTAATGCATTGGTTAGGTGGTTATTTGGTGGGGTTGGTTGGTTTTTACTACCACTTGCTTATTCGTACTTTTACCAATGCGGTGTGGTAAATCCTAAGGTTTACTGTTTGGGTCCGGTAAAAGCCCGAAATGGAAGCAAAATAAATAGTTTTCGGGCTTTTACCACAAGCTTTTGGTAAATCTTAGGTTTAGCGCGCTTATCCTAGGTTTTACCGCATTTCGGACATTTACAGTAACATATCTATTAAAATTAGGGTGCCCCAAAAAGATAAGTTTTGGAAGTTGTGATATACGATTTGAAGTTGAAATTTAATCTTCAATAACTTTCAAACGAATCGATTAAATGAAATTTCATATCAGACCTTTTTTGAAGAACGTTCAATTTCCTACAGGAATGTTTTGATATAATGCAATAAAATTAAAAAAAAATATTCCCCGTGTTATTTAAATGGAAAATAGAAAATCACGATGAGTATTATTAATATTAAAAGCTCAAACTTTACCTGAATTTTTTTTCGTTAACCTGAACAATATTTTCACGGTAACTAAAAAGAAAAAAATATGTATTTTTTTGGTGCATCCTAATCAACATTAGTAAACAACACTTTGAAACCAAAAACGTTTTTTAGATTTTTTTATTTGAAATAATTTTTGTTTAATCTCATAAAACCAAAACGTGTTGATTTATATGACGATGCGAGACCATAACTTAAGATGACACATTACATGTTACGAAATACTTCAAATATTATCCGACCTACTCGTGCTGGAGTAGTAAACATACTCTCTCTATACCAACTCGACATCTGTCCTAGCATATTACCTGTCACGACGCTTTACGTTTCAGTGTTTCACCAGGGAGATGAGGGCAGGTCGTGGTACATAATAATAAGAGGCTCGGTGGATGTGGTGATCCATGGCAAGGGCACGGTAAATACCCTGCACGAAGGCGACGATTTTGGAAAGTTGGCCCTGATTAACGACGCTCCTAGGTAAATATAAATTTATATACAATGTATTTGTTTTATTTGTGAACATAGGATTGCAACAGTATATTGCTTGTGTTGTTTTTTGTATGCCTAAACTGTTTGTTTATTTGTAAAATGATATAGGGCCAAGTGACGTAAAAATTAAATATTTTTCAAAAATTTCAATTTTTTTCTTATATACAACCATTTAAATACAAAAGTATTCCTTCTATGAAAGGCGTTTGGAGGTAAGGGAACTTTTGCAAAAATAGAAATATACCAAAGTACCCCTAAAAATTAAGTATTATATACAGGGTCCGGCAATAGTGCGTCAGGCATCTGTAGCTCCTAGAATAAAAAACTTGAGAATTTTGTTTAAGTGCAGACCATATATATGTACCAGGATGTATTTCAGGAAAATATTTTAACTTCTATAGGGTGGCTCAAAAAAGTGTGAGTGGACCTGGATGATTTTTTTAAATGGAACACCCTGTATATAATTGCATTTTTGGCTTCCTTTCAGATCACTTTACATAACCCTAAGATATGAATAAATATATTTCGATAGTTTCAGAGATATTAAAAAATAAATAAAAAATATGTATTTTTCAGCCCTTCTTAAAAAAATCATTAAAAATACAAGAACTGTTCTGAAATCAAAACTATATTAGGTATTTACTTTAGATAGTATGTTCTTAGTTTGTTTTAAATATGGTAATCATGTATCATACAGGATGTTCAATATTCTACGCCAAACTTTCTAAAATATAGAATAATTTTTCTTTGTTATTTTAAATGGAACACCCTGTATATTATTTTTTTATTAAATGGATAGTTAAAAAATGAACATTTTTTGTATTTAGAGTATTTCAAAATTTTGAACGGTTTCGCAGATACGCGCAGTATTATTTCATATGGCGCTTTCAATGGTAAAATACGAGAGAAAAATCATTGGGTGGCTTTGATAAAAATTTACTGTGGAACATTCCATATGAAATATAAAACCGCAAATATCTGCGAAACCGTTAAAAATTTTGAAATACTCTAAATACAAAAAATGTTCATTTTTTAATTCTCCGTTTATTGAAAAAATAATATACAGGGTGTTCCATTTAAAATAACAAAGAAAAATTATTTTATATTTTAGGAAGTTTGGCGCAGAATTTTGAGCATTCTGTATAATTTACGATTTTCATATTTATAGCAAAGTAAGTACAGACCATCTAAAGTAAATACCTAATATAGTTTTGATTTCAGGACAGTTCTTGTATTTTTAATAATTTTTTTAAGAAGGGCTGAAAAATAAATATTTTTGATTTATTTTTTAATATCTCTGAAACTATCAAAATATATTTATGCATATTTTAAGGTTATGTAAAGTGATCTGAAAGGAAGCCAAAAATGCAATAATATACAGGGTGTTCCATTTAAAAAAAAATCATTAAGGTCCACTCAAACTTTTTTGAGCCACCCTATAGAAGTTAAAATATTTTCTTGAAATACACCCTGGCAGATACTTTAGGTTCGCCCTTAAACAAAATTCTCAAGTTTTTTATTCTAGGAGCTACAGATGCCCGACGCACTATTGCCGGACCCTGTATTTAAACTATCTAAAAATAAGACATGCTAGCTTAAATATAAAACAGTCACAAAATGCATGTTTAAAACCCTGGTATTCTAAATGTCCCTTTATGTTAAATGCTGGAGTAATTATGCGACTAGAAGGATAAAAATTTGATATTTTTTGATTTTTTTATTAATTGTGAACTCTTAATTACTCCTCCATATAAGTCAAATCAAAATACAGTAAAATTACTCGGTAAAACATTTATAAACTGAAAGTGTAATAGTTATTTACAGTACAAGTGTGTTTATGAAAATGATTACAACAACGAGTGTGAACGATTAGTTCTAATCACACGAGTGCTGTAATCATGTTTAAACGCACGTGTCATGTACAACGCTTTATCTACAACCGAAAAATAAGAATATGCTGTTTTAATTTTCGTTTATTAGTCGCCCACCTTTAATACCTTTAACTATGACATTTGTCACATTTATATTAAAAAGTTATATTTAAAGTCAGTTTGTCCTGTCAAGTAAACGCGAGCACATTTTGCCCAGAAAAATCATTTTAAAAATTACGATGAGCAATTCCGAAAGTCTCCCTTCAGATGTAGAACTTGTCGCAGTACGTGCCACGGAATCATTATTGCCGGAAAAGTTAATATATTTAGATGTTCGTAGTTGTTTTTCATTATTATAGCAACTAGTTGTGTTATAGATTCATAACACCACTAGTTGTGTTATGAATCTCAAAACGTAACTGAAATACTAAAAAAATAGTGATGTAAAAACGTTATAACTAAACGGTTGTAGATAAAACAATTTTATTAAATTAAAAATGATGTGACATTAAAGTATTAAAATAGCGTCACAAGGAGCAGAACAAAAATAAATATAATTATTATACCAATTAGCTAACTAAATATTTCTCAAAATCTACTGAAAGAGCAAACATTCCGCAGTCTTAAATGTCCCGCTTTGCAAACTTGAGGTTGGTAATTTTAAAACAATGCCTTTCTTTAAATCATTATCTATTATGTATACTTTGGCTGTATACAGGGTTTCTCAAAAAACATGTGCCATCACTCGTGAGGAGATTCCTCATGTAAAAATAAGATTTATTTTTCATATCAACATAGGTCCGATTCTGCTTTATTTCGTAGCTACAGGGTGTTCAAGTCTTAATATGTTTTCGATTTATTATAATTTTCTTCCAAGTACATTTAGCGGTTTCGAATTAAATTTTGAGGGTAGAAGTTACTATAAATGCGACATATTTTAAAGCTATAAAAATGTCGACATATTTACCAGGGACGTGCATATGGGTTATCAATGGAATATTTTTCCTAAAAAATCATGTACGCCACTGACTTTTTTTTCTCGAGTTTGCGAAATAATGTAAGCAGTTTAATGCCGATTAAAACTTCGTATCTTGATATTCTGTCGATTTCGGCCTCCTTGATGAGATAGCCAAGTCTTATAACAATCTTTAAATCATTTTAATGTTCATATGGGTTATCACTGGAATATTTTTCTAAAAAGAGCATGTACGCCACTGACCTTTTTTTCTCTTTTTAGCGAAACAGTGTAAATAATTTAATGTCGATTAAAAGTTGTGTCTTCATATTTTCTCGATTTCGGCCTCCTTGATGAGATAAACGGTATTTTATTAAATTGCCATGATGCAAGTCTAATAACAACCTTTTAAAAAATTTAATATCATTAACTTGCGAAAGTTTTAAATAAGTACTCATTGATTCATCATCCAAAAATATAAAAAAATTCCTATAAACATGGGTATGGAAATGCATTGTTTTAGAGTTGCAGGGGCAACTTTTTAAAATTAGTTTTTTTGTAATTATCTTAAATACCATTATTTCTTTATTTGAAATTACTGTAAGTTAGACTAATAGTAATAATAACTAATAGTAATAATATTTAATAATAAATTAGGTAAAATATATAATTTATTAATTTTATTTTTATTTTGATTGTATTAATTGCGAATAATAAAATTGCGTTCATCAAGGAGGCCGAATTCGACAAAATATCAAAAGATAACTTTTAATTGGCATTAAACGACCTACACAATTTTGATATCAAAAGAAAAGAGTCAGTGGCGCACATGTTTTTTTAAATATTCCAGTAATAACCCATCAAGCACGTCCCTTATGAATTTATCGACACTTTTTATCATTAAAATATGTAGCACTTATAGTATCTTTTATCCTCAAAATTTCATTTCAATCAGTAAAAGTACCTCGAAGAAAATTATAATAAATCGAAAGATTATTATGACTTCAACACCCTGTAGCTACGAAACAAAGCAGAATCCGACCTACGTTGATATGAAAATTAAATCTTATTTTTACTTGAGGAATCTCCCCACGAGAGATGGCACATGTTTTTTGAAACACCCTGTATATTAAGGTTACATCTGCGCTATTGACAACTAACTTTCCAAACAAAAGAAAATGTATGATTATCAGGAAAATAAATATTGAAAATATCTGGATACAAGTAGAAGATCAAAATATAGAAGGGGTAAGAAGATTTAAGTACTTGGGCTGCTGGCTGAATAAAAAATGGGATCCTGATGAATAAATCAAACATAGAATTCAAATATCCAGAAATACCTCTTTCAAAATGAAAACCCTTCTCTGCAACCGAGACCTGAATCTGACTACTCCGATGGCGAGTTACCAAATGTTACGTACTGCGTACATTATTATACGGAGTCGAGGGATGGACGTTAAAGGCACTGACCAAGTCACGCGTAAGATTCATTTGAGATGTGGTTATACCGACGAATATTAAAAATATCATTGACCGAACGAATAACAAATCTTGGAGTATTAGAGAGAACGAATAAGAACCAAGAACTATTGACTACAATAAAACGACGGAAAGCAGCATATTTTGGTCATATTTTTAGGAATAACAAATATAGTTTTCTACAGCTGATTGTTGAGGGAAAGATTGAAGGACGACGAGGCATCGGGCGTAAACGGTTCTTTCGGTTGCGGAATTTGCGCCAGTGGTTTAATATAGGAGAGGCCAGTGTAATTATCCATTTGGCTTAAGACAGGGAGGAATACCAATTATTGATGATCGTCAACCACCGATGAGGAGAAGGCACATGAAGAAGAACTTTCCAGTCTTTTAAGATGTTTTTCCGTTTACTTGTTTGGTTTCTTTGCATATTTTTGGGAATTTTTGAGTTGTGACTAAAATTTTAAAATATACAGGGTGGCGCACCTCATTCGCCTCGGTTGATTATTGAACGAAAACGGAAAGATGTAGAAACCAATTTTTTTGTGGGTATATGTAGAGAGGCAATATGCATAATTTAAAATCATTTTCAAATGTACAGGGTGTGTCAGAACTAACATCCATACCAAAGTTATATTTTTTCTTATGGAACACCCGGTATGTTATTTCATTTTTGGATTCTTCGT